CTTATAATAATTAGTATTAAAAGAAACCACTGTTATTAGGAAAATGGGTAAAATTTGAAGGAGTATGTATTTAGACAATCACCATATTCCATGTTTAGCTTCATAGGTAGTTATGGGGGAAATATCCCCCTCAACCACTATGAAAAAATGTAGTCAATAGGCATCTCACCAAAATCAAAGAATGATTAGTTTGGTTTCACTAAAGTATATTTGGAGTGTATAATGACATTAACTGTGATGCTCTTAAGATCCCAACTTTTTTATTTTTCTTGTGCCAAGAACTTAGAAAGGTAGACATGTGTAGTTAGTCTACCCTAGAGATATGGAGCAATAACTAAGTAACATATTCAACACAAAGGAAATAAAGAAGCAATGATAAATTATTTAACTCCAGCTTATTATTTCTCAACTCAAGGAAAACAGTAAAATCCAAAATATTCATAAAAAGCAAAACCAAACAGCAACAACAAAAACCTGGTCCCCAAATTAATAGCAACCACTTTACTATCAGATGACAAGTGTAGTTAGCAGTTATTCAGTCTGATTCAGGACCAAGAAAAGACTCTTTGTCTTCTACTCCCACATAGCAGGCTGCACCAGAGCCCAGTTCTGGGACTTTATTGTTTTCTGTATAGTGACTTTAAAGGTCTGCCTACCTTAGTCACAATCCCATGATTGCACCCCTAGGTGTCTTCCACTTCCTTCTTAGATTCCAATTCCCAATACATGGGCTCAAGGAAATAATCTCTTTACTGTTCCTCTGGAGAATCCAGACTGTTTGTGACAGCAGATTTAGTTGTCTTTACTCCAATAAGGACGAATAAACTAAAGTGCAATATCATTTCTTTAATTTAGTCATTGAACTCTTCTCAGGGACTTAGCATTTCTCATAGAGAATTTGTAAATAGGGTTTTTAGTGATTTCACCCAATGTCCATACTATCCTGAGAGAAGTCCAATTTCAAACGGAAGTCAGTTTCTAACCAACCCTGTCTCTTCCTATTATTATCAAGTACTCTGTCAGAATGTCTTTGTCTCATGCTGTCAATAAATAAGCTAGTTTATAAACTCTGAATATAAACACTAAGAGCAAGTTTTCCTGAGCACAAAAATGGAATTAAGGTTGAAAGTAATGAAGTTACATTTAAAAAAAAAAAGACTATGCTACTGACTAAACTACTTACAAAGGTTTTGTTCACATAGTCATCAAATGTTTCTTTAAATTAATTTACTTAGTCCCCGATATAACTTCCAAGAACATATTGTTATATAATCTTCCTGACTTTCAAATAATATGAAGTTTTTTTCATTTCAACACTAAAGAATTCAGTGTATTGGTATAGAACATCACAATATATGCATGAAAAGGCAGAGTCAATGTCTTTGGTGTTTTTATAAACACAGATATGTTGTGTGTAAAAACATACATACATATGTGTGTCCATATATTTAAGTGACCACATACCTCATGTAGAACCTTGAAAATATTTTCCAAGAGAACTGCATGGTCTGAGTAATATATAACAGATGATATCAATGTGTTTATTAAATCATCATATTCCTACTTCTGATCCTACTTTCTTTTCTTTAGCATTCCACAAGGACTAGAAAATTAAAATGTGATTTAAACTTTACTGTTACTTGGTGTGTTTCACTAACTACATTTGAGTGAAAGTCAGGATAACAGTATTAAGGGGAAACTCTCCTTGCTAACTTTTTGCCAACAATGTTTTGTGATGGGTGTGACTTTGGATCACTGGCTGTACAGACAGGGAAGTGGTTCTAGGGAAAAAAGAATATTCCCAGACAGTTAGTTTGTTTATTTGCTGATATTTTTGGATTGCGTATTGATGGGGTGTTGAAATAGGAGCGGCGGCAGGGCTGCGTCCCCGGCACCAGGCCGCCCGCATGGCTAGCTTATGCCCCGAAATAATTACACGGAAACTGTATTCTTTCAAACACTGCCTGGCCCGGCTAGTTCCAGCTTCTTATTGGCTAGCTCTTACATATTGTTCTAACCCATTTCTAATATTCTGTGTAGCCCACGAGCTAGCTTACCAGGGAGGATCTTAACCTGCATCTGTCTGGAGCGGGAGAATCGGGGACGCAGCCCTGCCGCCGCTTCTATTTCAACAATGGGGAAATGCTCAAAAAGTGATTTTCACTACATAGTGTCTCCCACTTTATTAAAACACGATTTGCTAGCTGTGTCTTAGATTTTTATCTGGGTGGGCTATGAATAAACTGCTTAGTAAACATATCAACCCTTTTGCTTTAGTTTAGGTTTAGTGCCTAAAAATTCTTTTTTAATATACATCTTCTGATTCTGTATAGGTACCAAATAAAGCATGACACACATAGAATTTTCTGACTTACTTTTTATTTTTTATTTTGGAAAGGAGTTCACTGTAGAAGCAAGATGAGTAGTACAGCTACTGACAGAATGTGCTCCTAGTCTTGATACAACAAAATCGTCATAGAGAAGAGTGCTGTGGTTTTAGTAGCCAGTCTGGGTAACTCATGAACATAAGAAAATTTTCTACTTCTATAGATTTTACACCAGTTTAAATCATCAAATCAAGTCTGTTTAGTTTCTCCCATCTATTTTAGGAAATATTTCTCAACCAGTTACTGCAAAAGAGTGTCATGTTAGTTCCAGATGCCACTATGAACACTGCAGTTACCCATTTGTGTTTCTCTCCAAGTGGAGCACCTCCTATTGGGATCCAGTACATACACCAAGTACTTTGTTTCTCCTACATATCCTTTAATCATTAGATAAAGTCAGATGTATAGTTTGTGACTAAATCTTGTCAATAAATGAGTAAATATGAATTGATAAAACACATAATTCATAACTTTGAAAATAATAAATATTGAACATTCTTATGTAGAATATTGAATCCGGAGTTCAATTCTTACTGAAAACTCTTATTGAAAAATGGTTAAAATTTGGAATGGGTTATTTTCATTATATTAAATGGGTATTCCTAGTAGCAATACCTGTGTGAAATTGGTTTAAAAAATACAGCTAAGGTATTTAAAATAATGCTAGATTCAACTGAACAGGAAACTTTGTAGAATAATAAGAATTCGTCAGTGGTTGCAAGCTTTATTGGCTTCCAGTCTACCGCTGTTAAGTGCATTTCCAAAATTTAGTTGCTTAATCTTATCTGAGATGTTTTGCTTCCAGCTTCAGAGGAACTGCAACACTAGTTTTATGAGCAAAGCTTCCCAAGACACTTGAGTCACCAAGTCCTGATGGAAGCATAATCTGTAAGGACATTGCCACTGGCTGCCAATGCAGGGGAAGAACAAACTAAATCGTTAAGATTCAGTCATCCCTAAAATTGCAGCTTGATCTTGAATTTTTTTTCTTCTTCTTGGCCATCTGTCCACAATTTTGTTGCTGTTGTTGTTTGGTTGATTAAAAAATGCTTTACTGCAGTACACAGAATCCCCCCCCCCCAACACACACACAAAAAAATGATATGGTAGTAAAACAAGAATTTGAGTGCATGAAATTTATGGTGAAGATGACATACTCACTGAAACTGTGTGAATCATGAAAGCACCACTCGTTTCTTACTGGCCCCTCACTAAGAAGAGCGAGAGCAGATTCCATTAGCTTGAAATTGTCTCAATCAGTGTTTCATAGACACTGACATGAATGCAAAACCCCATGGGATCTTGGGATGCTGCAGATGTGACTGAGAAAGCTCTCAGGATGTGAGATCTTAGCTTCTGCAATTCTGATCAGACCCAAGATGATGCTGATGCCATCAGGCAAAGGACTAGACTAGCCAAGCTGTGTTTCTAAACTATTCTTTTCCAATCTTTGTATCCACATTTACAGTTTATTTTTCTGTTTTTAAACATGAGTTATTTTTGTGTTTCTTCTCCCAGCTCCTGACTTTTGAAGAAATAAAATTGGATTAATATGAAAGTGGGATTAAGTAGAGAATAGAAAACACTTTAAACACACAGAAACCTTTAATCCAAGATGACTTTGTCAACCACCTCATGCCAAACTCCAGCAGGCTCCCCTCCAGCAGGACCTTTGAAACTCTAACCCTTTCCTATTATCAACCAAATTACTGTGCTCTACTTTGCTCCCTGTCATGATGCTGTTTTCGGATATCCCACAGAAGTGAAGTGTCTTTTCACATATCTATAAACAATGGGTGAATTGTACACTACACAGGAAAGTTTTACCATTCATAGTAGCAGGAAATCCCAAACTCACTGTATTATGTACATAATATCTGAATACACAATCAGACTCTTTGAATTACACTGTAGGATCAACAAACATAGCAAAGATCCCTACAAAATCTGTTTCTCTCAGGACATTCACAGTGCAAATTAGCCATGATGAAGGAGATGGTTAGAATTCACTTACTAGGCACATATGCATATATAACCTTTCATTTTCAATGTCAACTTTCCAATTTAAGGGATGACATCTATTACCAAATAAAAATTATAATGTTAGCCCTATAGAATTACATATGCAGCCTACAAGCATTCCATAGAATTTTCTATCCATCCTTCATCCTAAAATCCGATGTACAGATTTACTTGTAAACAGAAGAAGGAACTATTTATTATGTGGAAAATTGTGTCTCTGACGCCCATATATTGTTCAAAAATATTTGAAGGTCCAAGAATGTTCTATATTCTTAGATTATTGGCTGAAGAAAATAGTACTGCAGTGTTTTTAGAAAATACTACCACCACCTACTGGCATATGCTGTACATAAAATTGAACAAGTCTCTATATCACTTTTAACAGGTCAAATAAAGTCAGGGAATATAAGGAATATATAATATCCATGTTACTTCAACTGTATGTCCACATTTAGCCAAATGAAGCTTTCGCCATTATGACAGAATCACATAAACTTTTATTATCTAAACATACAAAAATAGAGAAAATACAAAGCAAAAATAAAAGATATTAAATTTTTAAAATACTACAAAACAGTAAGATATTGCACTCTAATGTGGAATTGCTTTTTTTTTTTCTTTCCCTTGTGAATATGCTCATTCTTTTTCAGTAAACTCTAGGGGAAATGTAAGATTGGCTTCAGTGTAGAGAGTCTATAAGAAAAACAAAATAGCATTATTTAAAATCATAACCAACCGAAAAAACAATTCAAAGCTAGAAGTTCGATTAAGTGAAACAAAAACAAGTTATAAGCCTACTGAAGTGTTCATTCCAGTTAATTTCATTAGCTTTTATCTCATCATTAAATCCCTGTTTTCTTTAAAACTTTCCCTGAGAAAGCATTAAATCACCAAGCTTTTTCCTCAGTTGCTCTTTTGAAATTTATCCTCAGACAATATTGTCTCTTGTTCTACAAATTTCCTATCTTTAAAGAAAGTATCTCTTGCATAGAATCTATTTTCTTGTTCAATAGTTCAATATTTTGCACCAATGAGCTGTGGACCCATAGAAGGATATAGGATTAAAGGCAATAGTTCTCTTCCCAAAACTTAACTGTGACACCCCTATTTGTCAGCATTTTAAAGTGAACAAATTATCCCTTCAATGACCAAGAAAGAGGATATATTTTAAAGAAATCTAATGGTATAGTTAAGAAACATGGAGGATTGGCCACAATAAATTTTAAATATTAAAGAAAATACTTCTAATATTAAGTTACATTGATACATTCAATGTTGGTCTTACTTTCCTTATATAGATATTAAATACTATAGATAATACATTTATAATGTTCCTCGTTATCCTATGTTAATAACCACCAATTCCCTACCAACAGATTGTTCAATATTTTGAAAAAATATTGTTCCCCAACACACTGTGTTTATACAGTTAATTGGGGTTTACTATTTAATAGTGAATTACTGACTTTGTTGAGTAGTTTGACAGTGTGTATATTTACTTATTTGTCTCCTTTGTACCTTATCACATCCTGTGTCCTCATTTCAAGTAGAAACAGCTATTGTGTAACTACAATGTGTTCACTCTTGATTAGCATAGCTGATTCAATGGTGGGTGGTCACAGCAGACAAGTTGCTCGATCTTTTTGCACTTAAATAAAATAATGGAGAAAGGCAGCACAGAAGTCAGATGCAACAAAGAAAGAACAAAGGGCAAAGGATGGGCAAAGGATACATTGTTGTAATGGTGATGAATGAGAAGGAGCAAAAGAGAAAGTGTAGAAGGGAAAGTTCTCCTGAGAGACAGCAAGGCCACCAAAACCAACACCTGACTCCAAAAGATACTCTTAATTCTATATGATTGCTGAGGTATACTTGTTTATTCAAGGAAAATATATCACCTATTAAGAAAAGTTAAAACATCACTCCCCACTCTCTCTGTCATTGTTCTGCTGTTATTGTACTACTATGAGAAAGATTCCCTTTCTTCATTCAATAAAAACACATATTTACAATATCCAAAAATGTAGTAATAACTTGACACAGAGTGCCAAAAGTTAGTGGTTAAAAGAGAAGATGGATAGATTTGAACAATTAAAATCAATGTGCAGAAGGGGTAAAGTATATGGGATAGTAAGAAGTGAAAACCACAGTTTTTGAAATTCTGTATGTCCATCACATTTGCATGAGAGTAGCAGCTAAGGGGATGTCACGTTAATAGTGTCAGTCTGTGGACCCGTTCAAAGTGAAAAAAGGGGACATTCAATTTGAATGTTCACACATGCTACAAAGTGAAGAAAGCTTACATTACGAACAAGAGAAGGTGAAAGACAAGGAGGACGAGGAGGAGAAGCATGCAAGTATATGCTTGATATAAAGTGCTAACTTACAAAGTAACAAAATTGGACCATTAAACTTGCATGAGCAATTTACTTTTTTGTTGTTGGTTTGTTTGTTTTTTTGTTTGAGACAGGATTTCTTTGTGTAACATTCCTAGCTGTCCTGTAACTAGCTCTGTAGACTAGGCTGGCCTCAAATTCACAGAGATCCACTTCTCTCTGTCTGCAGAGTGCTGGGATTAAAGGTGTGTGCCACCAACACCTAGCTAAAGATTTACTTTTTTTTTTATAACTCAAATAGTTTGTGCAAAAAACTACCTTATTTTTATCTGATTTAGTTGTATATTTACTTATTCATTCATTTATTCATTTATTGTGATTCCATGGATCATGGAGAGTTCGTTACTGAAGAGCATTTATCTTTTTAAAGGACTTTGATGATTCTTTGTTAAGCTCATCATCTTAAAAGACTAGATAATTCTGTTTGGGGGGATCGATTTTTTTTATTTATCTATTATTTTATTAAAAATTTCCACCTTCTCCCATCCTCCCATTTCCCTCCTCTCCCCCACTCTCCCTCCTCCCCACTCTTCAGTCCTAAGAGAATTCAGGGTTCTCTGCCCTGTGAAAAGTCCAAGGCCCCCCCTCCATCCAGTTCTAGGAAGGCGTTCATCCAAACAGACTAGGCTCCCAAAAAGCCAATACATGCAGTAGAATCAAAATCCGGTGTCATTATCATTGGCTTCTCAGTCAGCCCTCATTGTCAGCCACATTCATAGAGTCTGGTTTGATCACATGCTCATTCAGTCCCAGTCTGGCTGACCTTGGTGAGCTCCCAGTAGATCAGTCTCACTGTCTCTGTGGGTAGATGCACCCCTTGCGCTCCTGACTTCCTTACTCATGTTCTCCCTCCTTCTGCTCGTCATCTGGGCTTTGGGAGCTCAGTCCAGTGCTCCAATGTGAGTCTCTGTCTCTACCTCAATCCAACGCCAGATGAAGGTTCTATGGTGATATGCAAGATATTCATCAGTGTGGCTATGGGAGAAGGCCAGTTCAGGCACCTTTTCCTCTGCTGCCCACGGACCTAGCTGGGGAAATCCCCTTGGACACCTGGGAACCCCTCTAGAGTGAAGGGAGAAGGGGAGGATTCAGGAGAGCTTGGGGGAGTGGGATGGCTGAGATGGAGGAAGGGTGGATATGGGAGCAGGGAAGAAGATATCTTAACTAAGGGAGCCATTTTAGGGTTGGCAAGAGACTTGGTTCTAGACTAGGTAAATCTTACAGTTTATGAATCATCATCATATATTTCACAGTTTTCAAAATAGAATCAGGTAGTCTCTCGTGACCCAATACAACCATATAAATACCCAACTACTAAGCAAAGAAATCAAAGCAAATTTTAAGGAAGAACATAGATGCCATCAATATTCTTAGGAAAAGGAAGTGTCATGAAGATTTACCCAATTACATCATGTATATGCAAGTATGGTTGTGAGAATTCTTGAGCTCAGTGTCAGAAAAACACAATGTGATGAGCCTTAGTTGAGTAAAATACAGTTTCTGCATTATTTTAAAGACAATGTCTTGAATGAGGCTGAGAAAAGCAGTGAGCAAGACAAACTTTTAAGCTTAATACCATTAATACCATGTTTTTTATATATACCCATGTGGTATATGCCTAAGGAAGGCTCAAGTATAAAACAAAATAACTTCAGAATACAGAATATTGAAGTGCATACCTAGGTTCACCATAAATATATCAACATAATGTTTCCTCACAGTAATCTTTGATTATTTTGAAATTAACTTTGCTTTTACTCTTAGGTTTAAGAATGTTTCTTGGTAGGTGTTGATAAACACCAAAGCATGTGCTTTCAAGATGGACTTGGCATCCCTAAATAAACATGGTCCCCTGGCCATTTTACTCTACTCTTTTACATACATTATTTAAGTTCTTTTCTTTAAATTTTTGTATAAAAATGATAGATATTTTAAATCCTTTTCCTCAGAAACACTCATATTCATCTGAGCATAGTAACAATTAATGCTCCTATGCTAAACTAAATATTTCATTATTCCAATTATTTCCTCTAATTTTCCATTTTATTTTTAGGTAATTGTTACACAAAAAGCTAAAATATAGACTGCGGGAAATACTTTTTCAGGCTTATTAACTAAGTAGTGAAGAAAGTCAACCAAAATAATGGTTTAATCTTTAGAATCATTAATCTATAGTCCTTTATGCCATCCATAATTAGATAGAAGAGTCGGTTGCTCCAGTCATTGAAGAAATGCGCTCATTTGTTAAGATGGTTCCAAGCTAAAATCATTCCAGATTGTTGGCTTGTAGCATTCCAGTCGGAGGCTTATCCCAACTTTGTCTTCATAATAATCATTAAATTCAATTCAAATGCTAGTCATGGGAATTGTTACTTGACATTTATTTATTTTGCAATTTATCTCAAACTGATTTTAATAGGGGAAAAAAAGCACGAAGGAAGCCAATCTGCTGCCTCAGCACTTCCTTGTTTGTAGAATATTTCAGCTGAGGTGACCCTGTTCTGGTGGGAAACTCTATGATTAGAGCTCTTTCTGTCTCAGTGACCAGTACATACACTTTCCTTTTTGCTGAAGGTATAACCAAGCTTTCAAGGGAAACAAATTAAGATAACAGGCATTATTAAATGGTCAGATGAAGGACACACTTGAATTTTTAAAATACCTAGTAATTTTAAGGTAGGAACTGATTCTGATCAGATAACTTGTCATTTGATATATTGGCGTAGCACATTTGTTTCAAATAAAAGAAAGAGAAATTTGAGAAGTTGTAAGTAGAATTTAAGGATAGGCTAACAGCAACAACAAGATTAATGTTTAAGTGTAAAATACACACATTATAATAATATCAATGACCTTGGGCCTCGGAATTTTTTTTAATAATCTTTTTCTTTCTTTTTGAAATAGCCCCCAGGTCTGGAATAGTTGTATAACAAAGATTGGATTCCCGATTCTGGCTTTTATTTATCTTTTGAGAATAAAGGAGAAAGAACATGAAGTTGAAGGGGTAGGGAGGTGGGGGATAGTTGGAAGGAACTATGGGGAGAGCAAGACTATAATATATTGTATAAAATTCTCAAAAAAACATTTAAAGGTCATATATGGAATGGAACAATACATATTAGAGACATGTATATGTATTCTTCTTGGGATAAACAATTCACTCCCCGTTTTTTTCCTCTAAGTACTGTGATGTTTTTTCTAATACTTTTCCTAATAACTACTTTCCCCTAATTCTTTGCAATTCCATTCCGATGCAAGCAAAGTCAGGATAGTGAAGATCCTGATACAACAATTGTTTCTTAGAGATTATGTTTTATGAGAGCTAAAAATATTAGCTAATAATTATGACTTTATTTTGTTTAATTTCCAAAGGAGTCGCCATGAAAATATATTGTTTTACTACTTTGTTTATCTTTGTTTAAACTGAAAGGCTTGAATTCTTTAGTGTTGATTTCTGGTGTAACAAGATTGGCACATACACACACACTACTAAAAAATAAACAATAAATAAATGAATGAAGAGAAATCAAAATTTAAAAAATAGCTATAAAGTTTCTGACAGTCTTTGAACTGAAGAGCAAGCATATGAATTGCAGAGTTAGGAGTTCATAGGAAGTTATTAACTTATATAACATTAGTCAATTCTTTCATTACACAGGAAAAGATGAACCCAGTTATATTAAGTAAGATTTGGCTGGTGTTGTTTGTTGTTCGGTTTTACCTTTCCTTGATCTCATTTGCTCTTAAAAGAAGGTCGCATGCAGGGTGCATTGTTGCACTAATCTGTCATCCTTATTATGCTTGTGAGGTGAAGAAGGGACAGTCTTGAGGTCGAAGCCAACCTAGACTACAAAATGAGATTTTGTCAAAGATAAAACGCAATAATGTACTGATACTTTATTGGTGAGAAGATATGATGTTTCAGTAAGGATCTCAAATAGTTGAGGCTGGCCAATCAGGGTGTTCATCTCTGAGGGGAGATAAATTCACCTTTTCTCAACATTTTTTAACCGCTTAGAGTTCTTCATTTAGTGGCCAGATCCTAAGAAAGAGGGAGACAAAAGAAAGGGAATAAGGAAGCGCAGAAAGGAAATTGATGTAATTATATTTAAAACACAAAGAAAATTGAAAATAGAAAAATTGGTTGAGAGCTGTATCGATTCATGTAGCCATGCATTTGGTTAATCGTTTACCAAAATGTCCACATTCCAAATGAGCTATTTTGTGTTACTAAAACTTACTTTCTGACATTTCTTTATAGATAAGAGCAGCCCACCTCACGCAGCAAGGCAACATGTAATACAATTGTGTACTCATTCTTTGGTGGCTGAGCACTGTCCCCATGTTGTTAAAATCCCGTGAGTCATATTTACAACAGGTGCCTTTCTCTTGGAGGGTTTTAATTTTTGCCTCCTAGAATGGCACAAGATCCAAATAATTCATATTTTCTAACAAAAAGCTAGAACAACCACCTTCTCACTTTGGCAACTTTTTTGCTCATTTCAAAAAGATATAATTTGTAGAAAGTAGCAAGCAGAAGTGTAAACTGTTCACCAGAAGACAAGCTGCTCGCTAAGTCTGCTATCTAGGTCTGTCTTACCTCCTCTAATGTTCAAGTCCCACCGTGTTTCCTTAATGGTGTTTACACGATCTTCAAAAATCCCCTATCCTGATCTGTGATAACATTTAGGTTTGTGCGAATCTGCAGGCTACACTACAGATGGTGTCCTTTAGCAGTGGTCAAATCACCTGTTGAGGCCTTCTACAATATGCAGAGTTCATCAAAGGAATCCTGACAGTCACTGGAATAGTACATCTCTTTCAGCATTGTTTTAAAACATGTTTTCGAAAGAGAAATGTTTTCAGTTAACTACAGTTCCCAGAATACCTTGTAGAATATTCTGTCTCTATTGATCTTAAATTGGCATGGCTACCCTGCTTTCGTTGGCAGAGTTCTGAAGGAAGAGAATAAACACATGATGTAATGTGACAAGATTTAAATTATGTAACAGTGCTGTAGTGCGGCTTCATCAGTATTTTCAACTTTTGGTACGAGGTAAATCTAAAATCTGTTTCTATCCAAAGGACTTTATTAAATCAAGAGAATTTCATGTTGCTATATGTATAGAAGTGTCTGATAATACGCCTTATAAACAACAGATAATAAACTCAAACTAGATGAGCAGTTCATTGCAAATTCCTGCAGTTCAAAAAATACTACATTAGAATAGGCCCACACATTTTAGGTGCAACGTTTTGGTGTAGTTTCTATCCATTTACCAAACCTTAGAGAATTTTCAGTGCATCCCCGTGCTTGTCATTAACATATACTTTGCCTATATACATAGAATGCTTCAGGTTTGGAATGACAGGTTAAATGAGAGATTTAAATTGCTCGCAGTGTGTATCCGTACATGCAGTTCTATAGAAATTTACCTTTTTAATTAAAGTAAAATAGAATTGATGTAGACCACCAACATTAAGAAGTTCTTCATTTTACTGTAAACAGTGGAACTGTTCTCCTTTATAAAAGCAGATAAAATCTAATTGAGAAAAAGAATATGATACTATCCTTAGTTTCTTGTATGTAGCACTATACAAGCATTTATTTGGTGGAAAGGAACCAAGAGGTGCTTACAACATTTAAACTCTATATGAGAAGTTTCTTCTAGAATTCTACATTATGGATATGAACTCTGTGAATGCTTGACTAAGCTTTGGCAGTCTTATGCATTAAAGATAGAAGCGCCAGTCGTTTACCCCTGTGCCTTAGCATCCTCTTTCCAGGAAGGACTTTTAAAAACACGGGACACTTCATAAAAATATGTGAAAATATCTGGAGAGCTTTTGCTCTCCTGGATGGAACCACTGCTCTAGAACAAGTTGTGGAATTAACAACTTGCTAGGTTTAACTATGTTCTAGAATACTACCCAGAGATTTCTGTGGCTTATTTTTTTTAATTAATAATNCTCCTCTGCTGCCCACGGACCTAGCTGGGGAAATCCCCTTGGACACCTGGGAACCCCTCTAGAGTGAAGGGAGAAGGGGAGGATTCAGGAGAGCTTGGGGGAGTGGGATGGCTGAGATGGAGGAAGGGTGGATATGGGAGCAGGGAAGAAGATATCTTAACTAAGGGAGCCATTTTAGGGTTGGCAAGAGACTTGGTTCTAGACTAGGTAAATCTTACAGTTTATGAATCATCATCATATATTTCACAGTTTTCAAAATAGAATCAGGTAGTCTCTCGTGACCCAATACAACCATATAAATACCCAACTACTAAGCAAAGAAATCAAAGCAAATTTTAAGGAAGAACATAGATGCCATCAATATTCTTAGGAAAAGGAAGTGTCATGAAGATTTACCCAATTACATCATGTATATGCAAGTATGGTTGTGAGAATTCTTGAGCTCAGTGTCAGAAAAACACAATGTGATGAGCCTTAGTTGAGTAAAATACAGTTTCTGCATTATTTTAAAGACAATGTCTTGAATGAGGCTGAGAAAAGCAGTGAGCAAGACAAACTTTTAAGCTTAATACCATTAATACCATGTTTTTTATATATACCCATGTGGTATATGCCTAAGGAAGGCTCAAGTATAAAACAAAATAACTTCAGAATACAGAATATTGAAGTGCATACCTAGGTTCACCATAAATATATCAACATAATGTTTCCTCACAGTAATCTTTGATTATTTTGAAATTAACTTTGCTTTTACTCTTAGGTTTAAGAATGTTTCTTGGTAGGTGTTGATAAACACCAAAGCATGTGCTTTCAAGATGGACTTGGCATCCCTAAATAAACATGGTCCCCTGGCCATTTTACTCTACTCTTTTACATACATTATTTAAGTTCTTTTCTTTAAATTTTTGTATAAAAATGATAGATATTTTAAATCCTTTTCCTCAGAAACACTCATATTCATCTGAGCATAGTAACAATTAATGCTCCTATGCTAAACTAAATATTTCATTATTCCAATTATTTCCTCTAATTTTCCATTTTATTTTTAGGTAATTGTTACACAAAAAGCTAAAATATAGACTGCGGGAAATACTTTTTCAGGCTTATTAACTAAGTAGTGAAGAAAGTCAACCAAAATAATGGTTTAATCTTTAGAATCATTAATCTATAGTCCTTTATGCCATCCATAATTAGATAGAAGAGTCGGTTGCTCCAGTCATTGAAGAAATGCGCTCATTTGTTAAGATGGTTCCAAGCTAAAATCATTCCAGATTGTTGGCTTGTAGCATTCCAGTCGGAGGCTTATCCCAACTTTGTCTTCATAATAATCATTAAATTCAATTCAAATGCTAGTCATGGGAATTGTTACTTGACATTTATTTATTTTGCAATTTATCTCAAACTGATTTTAATAGGGGAAAAAAAGCACGAAGGAAGCCAATCTGCTGCCTCAGCACTTCCTTGTTTGTAGAATATTTCAGCTGAGGTGACCCTGTTCTGGTGGGAAACTCTATGATTAGAGCTCTTTCTGTCTCAGTGACCAGTACATACACTTTCCTTTTTGCTGAAGGTATAACCAAGCTTTCAAGGGAAACAAATTAAGATAACAGGCATTATTAAATGGTCAGATGAAGGACACACTTGAATTTTTAAAATACCTAGTAATTTTAAGGTAGGAACTGATTCTGATCAGATAACTTGTCATTTGATATATTGGCGTAGCACATTTGTTTCAAATAAAAGAAAGAGAAATTTGAGAAGTTGTAAGTAGAATTTAAGGATAGGCTAACAGCAACAACAAGATTAATGTTTAAGTGTAAAATACACACATTATAATAATATCAATGACCTTGGGCCTCGGAATTTTTTTTAATAATCTTTTTCTTTCTTTTTGAAATAGCCCCCAGGTCTGGAATAGTTTTTGGCACCAAGCACCTCCCCGTGTATTCAGGCTGGGCAAGGCAATCCAGCATGAGAAATACTTTCCCAAGAGCCAGCCAAAGCACCAGGGACAGCCTCCGCTCCCTTTGCCAGGAGTCTCACAAATAGACCAAGCTACACAACTGTCATATAAAATTAAAATTCAAAATTAACCTAATTATTTTTAAGGAAAGTTTATTTCATGGTAGTATTTGTATAAACCATTTTATTTCACGGTAGTGTAAATCAGCCATTACAATTCTGAGAACATAGTAGGTTCTCAGGAAACAGGTAGTCATTAGCTTCCAAGTGAAAATTGCTTCCATTATGTGATCCAGGCAATCCTGGCTTTCTCTGCAACTGTTGGTTCCACAACTCCAATAAATTCAAAGTCACTCTTGAATGGTATCTTTTTAAGGGGACAAGATGGAAAAAGTCACCCAGAAGCACTTGTCTCAGCATCGTCTAGTCCTTATCCAGTTTTGCTCCCATAACTAGAAACCAGCTGTGCTATTGGAGTGCCCTAGTGCGAAGCCAACATTGGAAGCTCACAGAGGAGAAACTCAGCCCATGTGCCAGTGGAAGGAACGTTCCAGTGACCAAACAAGAGGGAAGAACACAGTATTAAAATGGGGGCACACTCAGATCTTAGGAAGGAAGAGTTTTAATCCCGTGTCAGTCTTTCTTAACCCCCGTTTTCCTGCCAAGGCTTCCCCAGAGGTTTTCCTGGACTGGGACCCAGCCTCTGTTCTACAGCAGCTCTGCCTTTTGCATCTTCAGTATGGAATACTGCGTCTATGAAATGTCCCCACACCTGAGCAACTGCAGAAAATTCAATTCCAGAAACTTAGATACTTAAAATAATAATCATGATAGGAAGATCTGAAGTTAATCTATGATAGTATTGTTTATCTTTGTTTGGAATACATACTCTTACATTTTCCCCAAGAGCTCAAAACTGCTAGCTAACAGCCCTCACCGTTTCCTTCTCCATGACTATTCAGTAAGTGTCATTTGACCTGAACTACCCACAGCAATGGCGGAGAATTCTGCAGGATTGTCTGCTACCACATGCATATCAGAGATTTTGATGTTTGTATTTTATTTTGAGTAGGAGGAAAGCAATTTTTAAATTGGAAAGCTTTCTAAATAGGTGAATTCTGAGCAGGGGGTTAAGCTCAATGGTAGGGGCACTAGGTAGTATCTGCAAACTCAAGCAACTGTAAAATCCACAGAAAAACAAAAAAGAAAGAAATGAAAGAAAAGGTTAAATGGTAAATAATGCTTCTACCATTTCAAAGTGAAAACTAAGCCCCAAGGGCCTTTGAAATGTAAGGGTCTGTTTGTCCTCATGAGTGTGGTGAGCTTTGTGCCATATCGGCATCCATGCACTCTCATGCAAAAATAAATTACTTAAAATACATTTCTGCTGACCACTTGCAATAATGGGATTGAACTCAGAGGACTGCAATGTCTTAATTCTCTACTTTTCTGTCTTCTTGTCTCTGAGTTATTTACAGACCAAAACAGAGAAGTCTCACTGATCTTTCCCTTCAAGTCAGATCATCTGATGTATTTCTCACTGTATTTGTATTTGAGAAGTGCCCTTGTAGCAGAGGGTACTCTTAACCCTTTTGATTCTTCTCTGCACAGAAGTCCTGGACTTCAGAAAAGCATTGTTCTCCCTCTGTTGAATTACAAATAACTATGCAATTTTCTTTTTAGCCTTGCACTGTGTGTCATGATATGGGTTCGCAAACCAAATTTCCCACTTGTTTCATTTACAGTCTAGAGTGCCCATCCTTGAGGCCCATCCCTCACCCCCCCCCCAAACTCTAGTGCTGAACTCAAAGCATGCTACCCTTAGGGAATACCACAACTCCATTTTCTGAAATCTATTTGATTCTCTCTGGCTAATCTTGCAGGCCTTCGT